ATGGATGGATAGAAAATGGATGGATGGATGGACGGATGGATGGATGGATGGATGGATGGATAGATGGATGGATGGATGGATGGATGGATGGATGGATGGATGGATGGATGGATGGAGGTAGTGTATGTGCTTTTTTTAACCTACTCACAGTTCTAATCGGTCTCCCATTTAAACTATATTTGGGGTCATGAAGAAAATCAGAGGGTGGGCATGGAATGTTAAGCGGTTGAATGACATCCTCTTGAAAACTACAATTAGACTTAGACTTAGACTTAGACAGTACTTTATTGATCCCTTGGGAAGACTCCCTCAGGAAATTAAGGTTACCAGCAGCTTACAGGGCAAAAAAGTATTAAGTTAAATTATGTTTATGTTTATGTATAAATTAAATTAAGCAAAAAAAATAAATAAAATACAGATTAAGCAAAGTATATATAATAGGAGTTGTGTGTATGTAATATAGGAGTTTGGCAGATACTAATAAAACTAATAAAATAATACTAATAAAAATAATTGAACTACTGAAACTACTGAGTTAAGATGAATATATCAAATTAATTATTAATTTTCATTCATTCCTTCCTGTTAAAAACATATTTTCCGATATATCCTTTTCCAAATGTACCACTACCTTGCTAAGGGAACCTGACTCTCTTATCTTTTAGGACACCAGGGAACTAGTTTAACTTGTTGAAATAGGGTATAATATGTTTCCTTTAAATAATCCCAATCTAGAGGTTGGTGTTCCAGTTTTAGCCGTTGTCATTTTTGAGTACATTTTTAGTTTTTTTTTCCTCTTTTTTTAGGAACTCCCTTTGGGGTGTTGCTTATTTGGGGTCAGTGACCTTTTATACTAATAAATATAATTGACAAACTGAGTTAAGATGACTATATCAAATTAATTATTCATTTTCATTCATTCCTTCCTGTTAAAAACATATTTTCTGATATATCCTTTTCTAAATGTACCACTACCTTGCTATGGGAACCTGTCTCTCTTATGTTTTGACTGGTTTTGGCAGTGGCTTTATGCAGGCGTGTGCTGTTTAGACTCACGGCGCCCTTTCCCGGGTGGGATGGCTGCACAGTGGTGTTTGATGTCCAGGGCGCAGGCCGTGTGGAGGACGGGGTCAACAAAGATGTCTGCCTTACTCTCCTTCAGCATGTTCAACACCTCCTGCAGGGGGGGCGACAAACAGGAGACAGATATGGGAACGAGCTGGAGATTTTAACACAGACTCAACAAACACAAATGCTCTGGGCCCCGTCTATAAACTGGTCGTTCGGTGCCAAGTTCTGCCTTCTGGCACCTTGTTCTCTGGGACCTTTGACCCTGCAGTGTTTGCTAAAAAACGAGGTCTGCTACCACCTCGGTCAGCAGATTTGCTCTCCTCATTTCTGAATACAGCGAATGTCTTACAGATCTTGGTGGTCTTCCCAACATTAGAAATGTCTGTAATAGCACGGACAAAAAATACAACCACCTAATGCTATTTTAAAAAAATGCTCACTCTTTTACTCCCTTTTCACTAGTCTATCAAAGTTGCAGTTTTAAAGTTACTGTTCCACATTTCTCCATGATATACTTTACTTCCAGGTACCATAAAAAAAAGAAAGAAAAAAAAAAGAAAGAATGTTACAGAACTATGGTAATGCTCGTGTGGGATCGGACTTTAAAAAAAAAAAACTGGACCTTGAGTCTGGGTCTGCATTTTCTCCTGCCGGCTGATACGCAGTTTTTTGCAAATATCGGCGGCTGATTCGATCCAGATATCGGATCGGGACCAGCCTATTTGAGAGACTTCATGACCACAGAAGTCAGGTCAGCTGAGGTCTTTTGTGGTGCATTTCCACTGGTGCCTGCTCAGTCGGGGTTCCATCGGGGCTATCTAGCCACATGACTAAATAGAGACTCTGTCAGGTAATCTGGGCCCTTTTTCTCTACTTTTTTTTTCTTTTTCTTTTTTAAACGGGGCAGTGACTATGGTGTGATTCCATCATTTATGTGTTCATCCTCTGATCGGTGTCTCGTCTTTGTGACGTTTAGCTAAACCGTGTGGAGTCCTGCTGGGCTGAGTGGGCGCTGATGGAGAAACGCCAAAAGCAAACAGCAAATGACAGGTCTCCGGGGGGGTGTTGAAATGGAAATAAACCGTGGAGGCTTTAGGGTGGAGGGACAATCAGGGGCCTGCAGTTCTGCAGAGGTGGACGCTTTTCAACGGTCTGTTCACATAAAGGGTTCAACTCTGTCTCTTTACGCTCTGAAATCAGAGGTTTACCTTCTTACAGCCTTCCTGTTTGATCTTCAGAAGGTTCACTTTCAGACACTCCTCCACCTGCCCCGTCTGCTCCTGGGCTGCAGCCTCCTCCGGACACAGGCTGGTGATCTACACACACACAAACAAACACGACCGTTAGTGAAGAGGTTACCGGCCAAAAGAAAGAAATAATAGAGAACAGGAACTCCGATCTAAACCTCTGCCCGCTTATTGTCAGCATAGAAGAGCATCATGTGGCTAACTGACTTGAGATTTGATGTTTTTTTGGATGCTGTCCTCAACACAAAAAGTCAAAAGTGTAAAATGGCCAAATGGCCAAACTTCTGTTAAATTCGGATCTATATTTTTAAAGATTGTTAGTTTGTACATTCGGATCTATATTTTTAAAGATTGTATTTTTTCAGTTTTATCATTTTCTGTCCTATATTTTTATTTCTACATTTTATTTCTCGCTTCTCATAGAAGTGTTGTGTTGTGCAACCAAACACCAAGGCAAATTCCTTGTAAGTCTATAAACCTACTTGGCAATAAACCTTATTCTGATTCTGATTCTGAATTCACACAACTCAGGGTGAGTTCAGCTTTTCAAACCAATTCACAGCATGAAACGCCGTCTTTATTTGGTGTCTGCTGAATACCATCAGTGCAATGAGTAGAAAAAAGTTTTAAACAGATGTTAATATAATTATGAGAGAGCCCAAGTGTAAATGTATGCTGGCCAAATGGCCAAACTTCTGTTAAATTCACACAACTCAGGGTGAGTTCAGCCTTTCAAACCAATTCACAGCACGTAACGCCGTCTTTATTTGGTGTCTGCTGAATAGCATTAGTACAATGAGTAGAAAAAACTTTTAAAGAGATGTTAATATAATTAGGAGAGAACCCTATTAAGGGAATAGAGGGTGTGGAAGTAGAGAGCGTGAACCTCGTGTGTGCAGTGGATCTGCAGCTGGGGGTCCAGCCTGTAGTCCAGGGCGGACTCCTGTAAGATGACCCGGATCTGATCCTCACAGTCGGGAGACAGGCGCTGCAGGGACAGAAAAGCTGGGTTTCATGTGGGCCTTCCAAAGGAAGGAAAACAGTGGAGTGATGTTGGAAAAGTGATGCAAAATGGTTTTTGAAATAGTCACTTAAAGTAATCCTGCAACGGTTTATTGAAGTGGCGTTGTTTTCTAATGTAGGAGACCTTTAATGCTACCGTTTTATTTTGCTAATATAACTGTTTATGTCTCTCGCTAAGGACCAAAAGTTTACCCATCATTCAGAAAGCATTCTTATTTGTAGATGTCTAAAACTAGGAGCTCAAACTGCATAACAACCGAATTTAAGAAAAATTACTACAGCTCCTAAATCTAAATGCTCTGTAGAGTGGAGGACATTCATGCCATAATTTGCGAGGTTTGTTTATATTTGAATGTGCAAAAGAGAAAAGTCAGATAAAGTCTAGATGCGTTTCAGTTATTGCTGTGAAACTGTGGAATGAATTGAACGATGAATTTAAGTTATGTCCTTTCTTGGTGAACTTTAAAAGAGCTTTAAAATGTAAAATGATAAAAAATCTTACGCTGTTATGTAGATCTATATATGTACTATGTACTTGAATCTGAATTTGAAGAAATCCTGGTAGGTTGTAAGGTAAAAAAAATAGGGTAGGCAAGAATAAGCTTTGCTTCGGCCTATTCCTTTTTTGGTAAACTGTGGGTTTGTCTATTGTTCTTTTCTTTTTTTCTTTTGTTGTTTCTTGTGTTTAATGTGGACAATGTACCAAAATAAAGTGATTGATTGATTGATTGATTGATTGATTGATCTCTGACCTGGTCAGCATATCTGAGCTTGAGGCAGGAGATGACCTGCCCCTCCAGCTCGGTGTCAGCTGTGGCCTTATTCAGGATGGACTGGCAGAACTTTGGGATGTCGGCTTTACAGGCCTTCCTCAGGACCGGGTTCAACCTGTAGTCTGGACACACACAAGGTTTAGACCACTTCCCTTTTGTTTTTAAAAGCTGACCAAACAGAGACCGGTGGCTGAGTCTGTGCATGCGTACCTGTGTTCTGGGTGATTTGTCTCTTGGTGATCATTTGTTTGCATTTGGGGTCCATCAGCTCGCTGTTCTTGTTCTGTTTCAGACACTGAAGCACGTTTTTCCCCTCCGACTCTGTGCAGAAGCGCTAAACAAGAAACATACACATTTTAGAAATGCATACAAATGTTAATAACTCATCTATAGTGGAGCTCATCTATAAATTTTGGTGCATCACCATATCCATTTTCAGAGAGTTTTTTCATACTCCTTTAGAAAATTATCAAAATTCAGATGGGATTAGTTTGCTGGAAGCTAAATGTTTGGTTTGTTACACTGAATCATCTGAAAAGTAATTGCTGGAAACTTTTTAGGAGAGGGCAAAGACTTTATAAAATCACATGGTGATGGCATGAGCCATAATTGTCTAACTCCTGCACAACTGCACCAAGTAGTTAATATAAACTAAGTTGGTCAAAAGCTGCAGATTAGAGTAGAGTGCAGCTTTGACAGTTGTACTTTGTTTTTCAGTCCATATGTTTCTTCTGTCTTGTTCCAACACTGTATGCCTAAAAAAGTTGTTCCCAGTTAAATGCTGTTGTGTCTTTTTTTTTTTTTTTTTTCAATCAACCAGCCCAATTAAAAGATTACAATCGTCTATTTCCCAAATGCCATATGGTTTGTGGAGCTGAATCATTTTTGCATCCATTCCTCAGATGTTGTGTTTCTGAAGGTAGCACCAGGTTTTCACTAGCTTACTCTGATCATGTGCTTGCAGACTCTCATCAGCTGGTAGTCCAGTTCTGGATCAACCATCTCCACTTCCTGAAGCTTGAAGATCCTTTGGTGGCAACGCTGGGTTAGCTGCCGCTTGCTCTCTTTCAGACACTCAATAACCTGCAGAAGGCCAGAGAGGCAGATTTGTTCATGAACCACTGGTATTTGGATCATATCCAGAATAACACTGCAAGGCTTTGAATGCTTGAACCCCAGTTTTAAGTACTATAATGTACCCATGCTTGGCGGTCTGATTGTGGCTTTTTCAAAAAGCTGCTGCAGGTTAAGAGGAGCAGGTGTTTCTATGATTGTATAAACTAAATCTCAACCCTGGAAAGAATTAGCATGATAACTTTACATTCGTCAAACACTGGACAAACTGAAAACACTCAAGAAATGAAGATGCGAGTCAGCAGGAACTTCCTCTTCTTCTGATGGCGTGAGCTCAGTGGCTCCGAGGTACAACGATTTTTCAACCAGGGGAATTTTGACAGTTGTTGAGCAAACAAAAACAAAAAGAACAGAGAGTCTGCTGACCTGCGCGTTGCCGAAAGCCACGTTCTGACACAGCCTGTTGATGTCCTGCTTGCAGGAGTCATAGAGCTCTGGTTCCAGACGGATGTCTTCAGACTGCCGGCAGAAAAGATTCACAACACACAGTGAAGTTAGACACAGATTAATACACAACTGCACCGATGCATGAAGTCCATTTTTATCCACGTTACAAACTGTTCTGTTTTACTTTGTGTCGATCGGTTTGATGGCTGACATTTAAGTGAGAAATGCAAATCTGATCTATGGATAATATCTTTATCATGCAAGATCTGCCTTTTCTTAAGATAAAAAAAAGCTAGAATATACCGAAATATTAGTTTGGGCTTATATAACTCTGTTTTCAGTTTTCAGTCTCCAGAAATTGGACAGATATGGTCCTGACAGAGCAGGTGCAGCCATGTTTGGCGAGCTTACCATCTCCACCTCTTCCACTCGCAGCTGTTTTCGACATTTGACGGACACTCGCTGCTCCTTGGCGTCCTGCAGCGTGTCATTCCTCACCGTGGTGCTGAGGCAGATCACAACGTCCACCCTGAATCACAGAAAGACAAATTCAGCCAGAATAATAATAATAATCAGAAACAGATTCTGCTGTAACACTGTGAATTCCCAATAATAAGAGTAATCAATGACTATCTTATCTCAATGTAATCATTTAAGCATCAGTTGTTGGTCTGCATAAATATATCCATTTCTAATAAAGGTGAAAAAATAAATACAAGAATATTCCTCAGCATTAAAAATGCTGAGTGGAAGCTCATATGCTAACTCAGCACCAGTCAAGCCGCAAAACACTTAACTAAAACACATGCTATCGGATACAACCAGTCAGCATTCCATCAAATACAAAAACATACGATCAAGCAAACATTTTTCTAACTTTTTAGAACATTGCATGAAAGAAAAGAATAGAAATAAAAATCAACCAGATCTCTAAAATGGATCATCTTGTTGCTCAGACATTGACAGTGCTGCCTTGTGTCTTACTTCTTCTTGATGTTGGGACACAGCTTGAGTACGTCCTCCTTGCAGGCCGTCTTGAACTTGTAGGAGAAGCGGAAATCTTTGATCTGAATCTGTGATGAATGTAAAACAGGCGGGAGGATTCGTTTAAAGGACGGTGAATGTGGCAGGAGACTCATTAAAGCTGTATAGCAGCAACAATGGGCTCAATACGTGCTTTAAAGTTGGGGTTATTGCTTTTTTTTGGACTGCACTCACCAACTGAAAATGAGTAACTCCCACTGCACACTTTTCATTCATCTCTTTCTGGTGTTTGTTCTGAACCAAACACTCCATCAGATCACCCGTGTCGATCTGATTGTCAGCGACCTCCTGGCAGAAAGACAGAGAAATACAGGCAGAAAAGTCACCACTTTGTTCAAAAGAAGTTGCATTTAATCGACAGTTTTGTTTTTTTAATTTATACAGGCATTAAATTCAAATGTGAACTCCAAAACATATGATATATAGTATATGATCGACGATAACGGCATAATTTTTGCTTTGACAAAGTGCACGTTTACACTGTCGAGCGTTCATACTGTCTGGAAAAGACAGAAAAATGGAACATAAAAGAGGGATGTCCAACAGTCCTCATTTGCAGGTAATATTCAGCATTTTGACTTTCGGCATCAAAAATTACAGCCAAATTTGTGTGCCAGTGACAACACTTGGTATTGTAAGTCTATTCAATTTAAATGATTTTATTTGGATTTTATTTTTATGTCATCTTGATTAATTGATATTTGCTTACATTTTTGTATTTTATGTTTGTACAAAAACCTAAAATACTATGGTGCAGACCTTATTTGGAACATATTTAACTGTGATTTATCACAGCCTGGATATAACTTTGAGTTGGTAATTGTCAAATATGGCCGTAAAATATTGTTGGGCAATGTCCAGCAAAAGGCAAAATTTGTTTATACAAATTCTATGATGATTCTAAGATGATGTATGAGGCACTTTAAAAGTAAAAAAATAAATTAAAAAGGTTCTGAAATGCTGTCCGTTTTTGTTTAAAGAAAAACAATGAAAGTAAGTAAAAAGTAGTCATAATTGAAATATGGAAAATAAATAACTCTTATAACTTATTTTTTGTCCATATTTCCCACTCTTAGGGGGGAGTGAAAAAAATTTGATATTAAAAGTTTTATAGTTGATAAACAGTTGATAAAAAAGAAAAGTTTGTTTTCTTTTCCTACCATTGATCTTCTCTGGATTGAATGAGCACCCGGTGAATAATGAAGTTGTCTGAATGTGTCACAGCGAGAAAACAGCAACACTCACGTGACAATAGGCCTGAATTACGGGTTCACACGCTCGCATCAGCAGCGCCTCGATCTGAATGTCCTGAAGAAAGAAGAGAGTCATGCTGGTCACACTAAATAGCCCCAAAAAACACACCAGTCTACCACCTTTGTCCCATCACAGCACTAACTGTCACAATTTAGTCTGAGCACTATAAGAAAAGATTGACTTTAGGAAGACTTTTGTTTTTTGCTTTTTACGTCGTTACAATTATATGAAATAACCACACTTAATTCAACTAAACTAAAAAACTGTTTGAGGTTTTCCTCACATTTATTGATAGGATATTGATTGAAAAGGTGCTAAAGATGTGAGCTGAACTGCTCCCATAATTAACCCTTTAAAGCCTGATCCAAGTCTTTATTTAGCCCTGTAACAAAATATGACATAGAATAAAAAACAAATACTTTTTAAATAATTATCATTTATTTCCTTGCTATAAGTCAAAATTATTGTGGTGTAGTTTTCTGCCCTCTGTAATCAGGTCTATCTGATTGTGTACAAAAGGGTTTGAGCAAAGTTTTTACCATCAAATGATGCATTTAAT